TCGTAATCAGATTCCTATTAGAAGGTTTATAATAACATAACAATGCCGCCAGATATCGATAATTGCAATGGTTTTTGTTTCTTTTTCTTATGTATATCTAGGCATATGTACGAGACTTCAGAAGGCACAATTAGAGAGCACTAATTAAATAACCAAACAGCAGACTTATTGTTTATAGAATGCAATTTATTTATGTGCGGGCAATTAATGTTTTGTGGCCACCTCGCGATCACTAGATCTAACGGCATTAGATTTCTTTTTGTAGGATTACATAAAGCACAAAGTGATGAATATTACTCCTAATACAAATAAAGAAATGAAAATAAGAATACGTACTGCTTGTAAATTACTGCTATACGGTTACTCTGTTAATGTTATCAGATAGATAGATGTCCGAAATAATAGGGGTATTCAAATAAGTTAAAGTTTAACGGTTTGACAGGTTATGTCGGGTTAAAGTCGAGTAAAAAGTTAATTAATTAACTTTGGGCGCGCTACTCTTTAAGATTATGCAAAATACATGAGTGACACATTAACCTATCACATTAATCTTTGGGTTAAAAGTGTAAAAATTAACTTTTTACCCGACTTTAACCCGACGCTGTCAAACCGTTAACTTATTTGAATACCCCTAATATTCGTAAACGTATTAATACGTGTTTAGAAGTCTGTGGACACCATTTTGAACATTTAACAAAATGATTTTTAAACCAAAATATGTTTACTTTGGTTTTGAATTCGTCTGTCTATTTTGACAGTTTTCAACGTCGCTCCGAAATTACCATTCGAAATGTATACTTTTCTATAATTTTTTAACAATGCAGGATAAAAAGAACTATTTTAAGTAAATTCACTGTTTTGATAAGAGATATCCAAATAAAAAAATTTCCTTTTTTTATTTAAAATTTAAAAAACTTTACATTGCTTCTTCATAATTACAGTATTATAGATCGTTACCACTGCTCCTATTTTATTTCGTTCACAAAGCTCCTCTTATGAGGAAGCTTGTATTTTATTTGATGCATAGTTATTAGTATTTATTAGTTTGGCTTTCTCATAGAAGAAGTTTTATGAGCAAAATAAAATAGGAGCAATGGTAGCGACCTGTAATGATGAGGAAGCAATGTGCAAGTTTCTAATTTGCACACTCTTCTTAACTTTAAATTTAACCTTTTTATATGAATTGATAGAGGGTCAGCTTAGTAGTACAAGTGGGGTTTTATAATCGACGCAATGTCAAATCGATGTTGATTTTGTGAATTCGGGCTACATGGTCCATATATGGACTTTGCATATGGACATTTGATATAAAACTGGGTCTAATCAACTAAATCTTAAAAATTTATATATAAAATAAGGGTAGAAAAAACTGAAAAATATAATAGAATTATAAAAGCCCGATTTTTCAAAATTGGCGGAAGTTAGAGCAACCACGGACATTTCTCAAAAAATTCAAAATTTTATAAAGAAAGAATTCTTTTACTGATTATCGCCAAATTCAATACCAACCTTTCTTAAATGATACTCTATGCATCAAATAACTTATACATTTTTTAGGCAGAAATCAGTAAGCTTTTTAATATAAGCAATTTCTTTAATTCTATTATGTTCTTCAATTTTTTCTACCCTTATCTATATATATAATTCTTTAAAATCTGGTTGATTAGACCTAGCTTTTTTATACGATCAAAGTTCTATATACGGAGGTTTACGAAAACAAAGCTTTAGTTGCCCGTACAATAATACAAATTTTTGAAATTTTAGAAAATAATTAAATAAATACTTATGTGTTAGATAATCATGCGTGAGAAAAGTATCAAATACCTCTGATCTATTAAGCTAGCAGAATCAAACTGGACCCATTGGATTTAGTACCTATTTTATACTAAATTGTGCTACTAATAATAACTGTGTACCGCGTGCCATTTCGAAGAAAACCGTGGCGCTACTATTTTAATATTAAGCTAGCAGGGCCACAATAAAAAAAAAGAAAAAACCAAAAACAAAAATGTAAAAGACTAATTTTATCCAAAAAAGTATCATCCAAAAGAAATTAAAATATTTATACCTTCCGTTTCAAACACCGCCAATTTAAAAAGAATGTTTATTTCAACGAGCCTTTTTGGAAGAACATTCGAAAAATAAATAAATAAATTTGACACTTTCGGTTACTGACTGAGTGGGATCTTTTACACCTCTTTTAGGAAAACTTATCTGTATCCAATGTTCTCGGTATGCGATTCAATATCCTATAGGAGAACACGCTATATAGGGGCCCTAGGTAAAAATAATTTTTATCCCTATAAAATATATCTTTCTATTGGATATAAAAGATGTAAACCCTCTCTAATTTTCATGTATAGCACGTGTATGCGGAAATCCCCCATCCAAAATTAGAGGACGTTTGATAAACTTGCTAGTCGGAACAGAAATTCATAACTTTATATTGGAAATTGTTTTTATATCAGTATTATTGAGCAACAATGTTCGCGTTTCTCAGACAAGTAATGGAAGAAAGACAGGATCAAATCCTTCAACTCGGTAACGCATATAAGCTATTTAGTTAGATAAATCTCCATGTATTGATTTTTAACCATTAATTCTCATTGTTTATACAGAAACGATACCGGCCGAATCCACTACAAATATGATTATTAGTAAGAAATTTTTGGATATTTTACAATTGTCGTTTGAAATAAAGTACATGGATGAAGACATTAAACTTGCTAAGAAGAGAAACAAAATAAAAGCGTTAGAGGAGAGAATGAGTGTATTATATCATAATATAATCGATCTTTTAAAGGACCGAAATTTTGATGATATTGTTACTTTAGCGACAGCTTATTACAACATTGGCTTAGAATATGTTACATCTACAGATATTGACGATTTAAAAACTGCTCTACACTGTCTTTCAAGTTGTTTGGAACTGTTAAAAGACAAAATGTTAGACCGTAAAGCTATTTTGATATATATAGGTACACTGAACGAATTGAATTCAGTTTGTGAGAAACTTGGGGAAGAGCAGAATACTAAATGCTTGAATAAAGCATTGGCACTATACTATAACTCAGTGCTCAGAAACAAAGGTAATTATCCTGATCTCATCCACATAGCAAGTGTTGTTGGTATTAAAGAAAAAGAATCGAATCCTAGGATTATCTTGAACACTTTGCATCATACAACTTTACAGGAGTTAGGACGTCAATATCTTAAAAAGTCTAAAGATAAGCACGCATTTGTAAAGTACATACATGATATATTAAACATCCGACTGATAGACATAGTATCTGACAAAACAAAATTTGATGACAAATGTCTTGATATGGCTGTAACCTTATTTGATCTGTCTAAATACTTTCTAGCAAACAGTCGTTTCGCTGAAGCTAAAAGTCACATTGCTATTGGAGATTATGTAATATACAGATTTGTTGAAGATTTATCAGAAGAGAAAAAAGCATCTCTTCATTTGAATGTACGTCATAATTATGCCTTAGCCGTTAGTGCTAAATCTTGGGGTTTCTATGGAGTTTCTCTTTTACGTTTCTGGATGGAAAAATTCTCACAAAATAAAGAAAAATTTTCCGAGGTACAAGATCGCATATCAAAATTAGAAATAAAATCTGAGGATTCCGACTTAATATTCTCTGACCTATTAGAAAAAGAATTGGAACATATAGCTATTAAGATCACAGAAACATGTATATTGAATCTTGCTGATGCCAAATTGGTTTTTTTGAACACTTTGAGAGAACTTGAAACAGCGAAAAAATATTTTACTGCAGACATTGACATTGAAAGTTATGCAAAGATAACACTGAAAATTTCAGATACATACAAATATTTAGCAGGTTTTGAAGAACAAAGAGATAAGCAAATAAAACTACATAAACGGCGAGTAGAGAGTTTAGAGAACGCTCGTAAGAAATTTCATACAATTACTGTGCAGGATAGAGAATTACAAATTTACAGACGGATTTGGTACGAAGTGGTGACTTCATGTTCCACGGTTATGGATTTAATGATCGAGGAAACATATTATGACGAATCATTTAAAGAGATGTCAATGAAAGCTGATCAATATGCGAAAATGATCGGAGAAAATATCGATTTTTATTTAAATGCCGTTTAGATTCTTTTAAATATTTAGACCTTTTTCAAGATTTGTACGTTTCTTGTTATTTATGACTTTATATTGGTGAATATTAATTGAATACATTCCGCGTTAACATATATTTGAGTCATATAAGAAACATGATTCATAATTTAAAAAATGTGTTTTATTAATTATCTGTATTAAATTCGTCTGAAAATAAATAGTTCTTGAATGAGTCATGTTCCTTATAATATTTCCATATGATAGACAGATGTGTAATTATTATATTCTTGTATTTTTATAATTAACAATATTTTACGATATCTGACAATAATATACAGTTATATAATCTTAAGTAACATAAATTGTATAATATATTCTTACATGTTTATAAACAGACAAATTGTAGAAATTATCAATATTCGTAGAAACTGTGTGAAAAAAATATTAAGCAAAGAAATTAGAATTTAAACGTAATTTACTCTATTTGTTTATTAAGCGATTTGAAGGCAAATACATTTTTTATTTTAAATGCATTGACAATAAACTCCAAGAGTTCGTTAATTTACCTCTCTCAGCATTCTCAAAGCGGCGTGTTTGATTCCAAAATAAATTGTTGCTGATAACTTGAAAAGACTAGTCTTGTTCTGAAGGTGTCGATATCATGCGATTGCAGGCGCTGTGACATTTGTAGCAAGTCTGGCCAGAATACTATTATATATATTATTAACCTAGTTCGAATGTTATATATACATATATATATATATATATATATATATATATATATATACATATATTATACGTGTCTCAGATAGAACAGAAAGTTATAATAATGTCAAAAGACGTCAAAATGATGGTAAAATAACAAAAAAATTTTATTTAGCAGTCATTTTAATATCATTTTGACTTTATTGTGATATGCTGTTCTATTTGAGATATACTTATATTTGCATATACTTTATCGCCTTCTATATCCGTACAGTAAAAGAAGAAAAATGAGAGATATTACAGCAAACATTGAAAAAAGTAGGAAATGCAGCGTGAACCTGTAAAGTATGGAACTATAACTATAAAAACTATAAAAATGTAGAATTTCGATGAAAATAAGGTCGCAACCCTATCTTTTTTTCTCTCTAAAAAATATCAATAAAAAAGACTTATTTTGTTTACAATTGTCATTTGTTCATTAAAAATTATTTGCTGCAAAACGAACCTTTTTTGTATAGAAAAACTACATTTTCATAAATTTCCCTGCAATTTGATCAATTTTAAAAGCTTTATGTTCGAATTCAGTAGGTCCAAAAATATACAGATAGATCAATTTCATACATCATATTCTTTTACCTTATTTCAGCACCGTTCTTTGACACCTTGTGTCATTGGGTGAAATCTTATGCCTCTTTTGAAATACTTGTCCGTATCCAACGTCCAATACGTAATTCGATATCCTGTAGGAGAACGCGCTATCGACCCTAGATAAAAAGAAATTTTATCCCTATAAAACATATCTTTCTATTGGATATCAGAGGTGTAAATCCCCTCCAATTTTTATATATAGCACGTGTATACAGAAATCCCTCATCCGTGATTAAAGGACGTTTGATAAATTTGCAAGTCAGAGCACAAATTCATAACTTTATACTGGACATTGTCTTTATATCAGTGAGCAACAATGTTCGCGTTCCTCAGACAAGTAATGGAAAAAAGACAGGCTCAAATTCTTGAACTCGGTAACGCATATAAGTAATTT